TGGTGGTGCTGTCGGCGCTCGGCGTGCCGGGCACGGGCAAGTCCACGCTGCTCAACACCATGTTTGGGCTGCGCTTCGCCACGGGAAGGGGCTGCGGTCCTCGGGGGGCCTTCATGCAGCTGATCACGGTGGCCGAGAGCTTCAGCCAGGACCTGGGCTGCGACCACATCCTGGTGATAGACTCCGGGGGCGTGGTCGGCGGGGTCCTGAGCGAGGCCGGGGACAGGCTCGAGCGCGAGGCCTCCCTGGCCACGCTGATCATGGGGCTGAGCAATGTCACCGTGGTCAGCTTGGCGGAAACGAGGGACATCCCGCCGGCTATCCTGCACGCGTTTCTGAGGCTGGAGAAGACGGGGCACATGCCCAACTGTCAGTTTGTGTACCAGAACCTTCACGATGTGTCCGCTCCCGGCTCCAAGCCGAGGGAGAGGCGGCAGCTCCTGGATCAGCCCGGCGACGTGAGCAGGGCCGCGGCGCAGATGGAGAAGCAGGGCGACGGGCTCCGGACGCTGGCCGACCTGACCTTTTGTGACCCCGAGAAGCAGCACATTTGGCACATCCCTGGCCTGTGGCACGGGGTGCCTCCCATGGCCGCTGTGAGCTCGGGGTACAGCGAAGCCATTTTTGAGTTGAAGAGGTGCTTGCTGGAAAACATCAGGAATGGCCTCTCCAACCAGAACAAGGACATTCAGCAGCTCCTCGAGCTGGTAAGACGGCTGTGAGTGGTCGGCAGAAGGCCAGCTGCCAGAGGCCCGCGGTGAGCCGCCTGTCCTGGTGCGAGCGCGTCCCCGTGGGGCGGTGCCCGGCCCCTGGGAGGGAAGGCAAGTGGGAGTTGCCCGAACAGTGTTAGGAAAGGAAGTCACCTCACAGAGCAGCTCGGAGATGCTCTCGGGAGTGTAACAACCCTGGGGCAGGCGGTGTAGACGCGAGCAGTCACTTGCTCTTTGTCTCTGAACTCCTCTCGAGGCCAAAGCATTTTGCATAGCTGCTCTCTGTCGTTTGCATCTGGCGGGGAGAGTGGCTCCTGGCCACGGCAGCCCGGGCAGGTGGCACCCGGGATAGGGCCGGGAAGGTGCCCCGAGGAAGCAGAGCGAGGCAGGCGTTCCCTCCAGGGAGCCTGCCCCTTGAGTGAGTGCCCGCGGTGTGCGAGGGCTCCCGTGGCACCCTGTTTATGGACCGAGCCCGCCCCGGGGAAGAGGCCCCGTTGGCTCTGTCGCACGCCCAGCACTTTGTTCAAACCCCTGCCACAACACTCAGCACGCGCGTCGTGACTTCCCCGTGCACGCGTCTGCCTCTCCCCTAGACCTGTGAGCTCCTTGAGATCAGGGGCCTTACATCACCCAACTCTGTACCCCCGGGGCCGGGCACACTGTAGGCACTCAATAAATGTGTGTTGAATGAATTCAAGTAGTGAGTGCACAAATGACGGTAACGAGCAGGGTCCTCTGTGGGCCTTGATTTTGCTGTTTCCTCAAAGAGGACCCCAGCATCTGTCTGAGGACCATGCGTTCTAGAACATCTGGAATAATGGACACCTGAGACAGGTGTCTTGGAAAAGGCCATCGCGTCCTTGCTCTGTAGGCACAGATCCATTCTTCAGGCCATTATTGGAAAGCTGAAGTAAATGCCTCCATAGGAGACATTTCCAGAACAGCTCCGTCGTGAACCCATTTTACAGATGAGGAAAGTAAGCGGCTTGCCCTGCCCACACGGCTGCATCGGCAGAGAATGGATGAGGTACCGGATGGCTCAGCCCTGTGCCTCTGCTTCCTGGTCACTCACACCTCCCAGGCTCACCCCCAGCCCAGCCCCTCGCTGCCAGCCTTTCATCCCGCTTCCCTGCCTCTGGGGCCAGACCTCCTCCTTGACATCATCCGTGGCCCCCTTGCCACCACTGGGCCAGAACATGGGGCTCCTCCTCTGTTGATTCTCCGGCTGGAATCGTTGTCTGTGGGTCACCTCTCTGAGCCCCGGGCCCCATGCCCAGCTGGGTCATTATTCCTGGGAATCCCTGCTCGGTCTTAGGGCCTCCTTCCCTCTGTATTTTACGAGTTCAGGGAAACTATGGCCCCAGGTGGCGACCAGGAGCTTCTCTGTCCCTTGTGCTCCTGCCAGACAGCAGGGGAGCTCTCCTGACTGGAGCCCTTTCTTGAACAGCAGGCTCCCCAGCCCCTTCTCTGGAGCCCCAGGGCGCTCCACCTGCCCCTCGTCTGATGCTCACAGTGTTGCCCTGGGTCCTGAGAGCCTGGTTCTGGACCTGTGAAATGGATGCTGAAAGGAAACCTGCTCTTTTGTTCATCAATGTAGGAAAAACCTTTTCACTTCTGAAATGCAAAAAGAATTTCTAATCCGCAGGCACTTAGAAATTTATTTCTTCCCAGGTCATTAAATAATGCAAATATTTAAGATTTTGGTTCACCTGGAAATACCGAAGCCTCTCCTTTACTTTTTTTCCCCCTGAACCATAGAAACTACCCAGTTGCTTTTCTAGCACTGAAGGAATTTCACCCAGGAGATTCCTGGACCCCAAGTTCAGGCATTGGAAATCTCTTTCAGAACTGTCGAATAGCAGCCACTTCCTTTAAAAACTGATTCAAGCTCTTCCCAGAATCGGAAACGGGGAAGCCAATTTTAGTGGCTCCCTGCTAATCAAGGATTCTCACTTTGAGTCTATCCATATATAAGGTTCTGTTACTGAATTACTGACAATTAAGTGTGTGTGTGTGTGTTGTTTTTTTTTTTTTTTGAAACGGAGAGGGAAGGAAGCATTCATAGCTTTCAGCAAAACTTTCAGAAGGATTTCGGTAGGACCTAAAAGAGATTAATACCTGCTCGGTAATCAGGAACGTTACCCCGTACATCCCCGGGACCTAAGAAACTATATGATCACCTCAAACATTTGCCCGATGTATTTAACCATTAGTAAACAGTGTGAAGACAAATGTCACAGACCTTGAGCAAGAGGTTGCCCCGAGGAGCCCCGGGGAGGGCCGCCTTGGAGAACTCACAGTCACGCAACGGAGGGATTCTGGACCTCCCTGGGCAGTGTCGACAGACCGCTGCCTCTCTCAGATGCAGGACCAGGAGAAGCTGTCCTGGAGCTGAGGGGTTTTTCCAACAAGAGGCAGTTATGGCGCTTTGGAGGGGTTGGTGTGAAATGCTATGACCTGCAAAAAGGGGTTCACCTTCAGACCCTGCTCCCGTGATTACATTTCCACAGGACCCAAGTCTTGTCTAGTGCCTCGGAGCGCAAAATACTAAGCACCGGTCCACTCTAGTCGTTCGTGGGTTCGCCCCAGCCAGAGGGCGCCCCCTGCGTCAGACCTGCAGGCATCTCCAGGGTCTGAGAGGCCACAGAACTTGTCACGGGGCGGCTGGGCAGTACGTGCTCGGAGCCAGGCGTGGTGATGTGGGAGCCTCTCAGAGATGGAGGGCTGGGTGGGCTGTTCGCAGGGCATCAGCTACTCTGGTGAGAGTGGTGAACCGCGAAAGTGGTCTTGGGGTAAACAGGCCTGGGAGTCTTTGGGCACAAGTGTGCCTGCCCCTGTCCCTGGGGATGAGACGTACCTCCCTCAACATGCGGAACTTGCAGCCTGGTTCTGAACTCGGCTTCCTGCTAGCTAATGGCCCTTTGCTCGAAGTCACTTAACTTCCCTAAGCCTTAGCCCCCTGGCTGGCTCCTGCTCTGTGGTGAGTGTGCAAAAGCTGGTTCTGGAGGATCCAGTCTGTGCACTAACAAGTAAGACTCCTGAAGCCGTGTCTGCACAGTCTGCACCCCCACGAGGTTCGTGCAAAGGCACTTGCCTGCCTTCTGCATCAACGAACATTTTAACGTGCTACACGGGATTCATCTTGTAATCGATGAGGAGTATCTTCAAGTTAATCTGCAGCCTTTCCTCATTCTTCACGGCACATAAAGCACTGTCTTCTAGGCACAGTGTTACATTTACCGAAACATGTTACCTAGCCGGGCTGGCGTGGGGAAGTCGATGCACCGATGTAAACCTGATCTGGGAGCTCTCCCCAGCTCCTCAGTTGTGAATTAGCCCAGTAAAGAAAAACCCGTTCTCTTTTCTGAGTCAGCCATAAACAATGGTTTTGGCTACAAACCTACCCCAAGTCCTAAGGCTTCAACAAAATTACATCAGAGTCCAGCTTTACAAGCACCAGTAAGTCACAACTACAGAGAAGAGCCACGGTGTGATCCTGAGCCGGGCTCTTGTGACCTTCCACCCGTCACCTCGCAGCGCCCACACTCTGGAATCCATGGCTTTGTTCATGCCCTTGTCTGCCTGGAGCTTCTTCCCACCTGTTTTTGGTCCCGTCTGGCACTTCCTCGGGACACACTTGGATGGCAGCCCCACCTCCATCCTGCCCCCAGGAAGGCCTTTATGTGTCCCTGTCATGGTCCTTGTCTTAGCTCCTTTCACTTCTCTGCTTCTCTGCCCTCCCCAGCGGAAGGCAGGGTGTCTAGCCCATTTCTGTGCCCAGATCCAGCACAGCATCTGAGAACCGGGGAATGGGGTCTCAGTGGCTGGCACACATGAGGCCTGGTCCCCCTCCTGGCCATCTACTCCAAGCCCTGGAGTCCTGACTGTCAGCCAGGGGCCCCAGTGTGGCAAAGGGTGTTTCTAATTGGATCCACTGTCCAGAGACTGGACCTACTCAGTGCGCCAAAGCTGAAGTCAGTGATACAGCCTGGGACCTAACCCACGGAACCTACCTTCTTCCTGGGCCTCGACAGGACAGTAGGGGTGGGAGAGTGGAGTGGGAGCTCTCGGGGAAACATGGGATCAGAGCCTCCCCGGCTCCTGTGCAAGACAGAACAATTCAAGGCTCTGCTGTAACTTGGTTTCAGCGCTGGTTTGGCTTAGTTCCCAGAATAGAGCTTGTGAGAACCTCTGGGTGAGTGGGTTGATCATTAGGAGAAAATGAATTACCAAGGGTAACGTAAAAACCGTAGGTTTACAGTGGGGGAGGGTACAGCTGAAATGGCAGAGTGCATGTCTAGCGTGCATGAGGTCCTGGGTTCAATCCCCAGTCCCTCCATTAAAAAAACAATAAATTGGTTAAGTCAGTCTTGTGAAGAGAACCGACAAGTGTGTGGTGTGTTGGCTAAGCCCACAGCCAACAGGAGGGGCACCTCTCCCCTGGGTTCCTGGAAACAAACACCATGTCCCAGGCTGGCCTGTCCTATGCAAGCTGAGGGCGGCCCAGGGTCTCCCTCTCCCACACCTGTCACCTCGCAAGCCTGGCTAGATACAGGTGAGCCCTCAGGCTGCCCTGGGCCCACTGGACAGGCCATCCTCAAAAGTCCAGGCCACACAGCAGCCCCTTCCTTTGCCATAGTCTCAAAGGATTGGTGGTAGGAAAGGGTTGTAAGGGTCATCCAACAGCCCTTTCCTGCAAAGGGGTCTCTACAAACCAGGTTCTGGGGATCCCCCATATAAACCTGGAGTTTGGGACACTGGTTCTCAACCATAAGGAACCCTGAGAAAGGACTGGTATCACCAGGCTGCCCAGTGCTCTGCTTGTGGTGTGGGGCCCCGTGGACTCTTTAACGGGCAGCCAAGGTGGGGAACTGCTGCTTTGAGAACATAAAACCAAGCCTGGATCCTCCTGGTGATCATGAGGAGAGCAAAGGGGCTCACGTGTGAGAAGAAAGTTGTACCTCCCTGTGTCCCCAGGGCTGTGGTCCAGACCACTTCCCTCCTCCACCAGGAGGGGAGCAGGCAGCCTCTTCACATGGGTCCCTTGCTCAGAGATGTGGCTGCCTTATCAAGGAAGCCCTTCGGGGCCCGTCCTGAGCAGTCTGTGCCCAACCACAGAAACACAGTCCCTCCTCCCATCCTACATGGTTCTGAACACTCACCCCCACCCAGAGACGCAGTGGAACCCCAGAGATGGAATGAGCACACGCTTTGGAACAAGAAGGCTTGCTACCGTTGGCCAGTTCTGAACCTCAGGGGAGCCTCTGAGCCTCCATCTGCGAAACCTGGACAATACTGCCTCCTTTACAGGATTGATGGGAGAAGCAAAATGCATCAAAACACTTAACAAATGGAAATTAGTGAAAAATAAATATTCGACTAAAATTTTCCCAGTGGTGACTTAAAACAGTGTAACAGTTCATACAGTCGTATTAAAATGTCATTTAAAGTTATTTAAATCATGCACCACATTCTTATGACCCCATCATCCACCCCCATCCCCATCAAGGAACCAGCTGAAACTCTTTTTGCAACGAGGCATGGTATAAAACAAAGATAATAAACACAATATCATGAAAGTTCGACAGTTTGGAATTCCTGGGAGGCATAAGGAAGAATGGGAAAACTTGAGCCCCCAGCACAGCAGCCCCTGCTCAGCTGGACAGCTCTGCCTCCTGCTGCTTCAACAGAAGTCATTGTCATTGTTGCCTTGATGGAAAACCAGCTTCTCCTTTCCTCTGGTGAGGGTGGTGGTCCACTGAGTTCTCATAAACTCTCAACAGCTGGTTCATCTCCCTAAGAGGATGTAGGTATCACACTCTATTCTTTAAAAAAAAATTATTAGCTGCTCACTCCATCAGGCATTTTTACAACGTGATTTTCACAACCATCACTGTCCCCACTTTATAGATGAGGGAAATGAAGGCTCAGGAAGGTCAAGTCACCTGCCTAAATTGCACAGCCAGGAAGCAGTAATTCAGATACCAGCTCCCACGTTCCTTACTATTTTCGAGCAGATTCATTAAATGTATCAAACTAGATTACCAAAAGTTATGGAAACGTGAAAAAGAAAAAATAAATACTATCAGTTTAAAAGTGTCCTTCAGTTAAAGGTGAAAGTTCTTAACGTTTGGAAAGTATTGTGGTTGAAAAATGATCTCACCACCTTACCCTGCCCCCTTATCTAGTACCCAGGACAGTTCGAGGCCACAGTTTAAAAGTTTAGAAATAAAACATTCCTAGTAAAGTGGGCAGAAGAGACGTTGTCCCTTTTTGGAGAAACCAGCTCCAGGTGGTCAGAAGAATCTTGATCCTGGAAAACGTACTGGACTGAAGCCAGGAGTCCCTCTGGCTCTCCTGAGTGGGATCTTAGGCAATTCACCCTGTGCCTTTGCCTCCATTTCCCCTCCACGTAGAGGATAATGTAGTCACCCACCGGAACCACAGCAGTATGTAAGCAATACTGGGGTGAATGATTACATCAAAACAGCCAAACGTTGGCAATTTCACGTGATTCATCGTAACAGAACCAGTAACAGCTATGTATCCTTACAGGTCTACGAAGGTGATAGTAACAAAATCCATTTTCTAGGTCATGGAACCGAGGCGCACTTGTACAAAGATCATCACACCTGAGCCCCCATCCAGAGTAAATGTGTTCCCCCATTACTACGGTGAGTTCTGAACGAAGATACCCACTGTTGCTGGATTTCCCGGCCTCTGACAATAATTGCTGGATACAAACGACAGTGGCAGTGCTTTGGCTTGGGTATTACAGACTCTGTAACATCCCCAAGGACTTCCTTACTAGTCAGCGCCTTCTCCTTTAATTTTCCTCCCCCCACCCCGGGCCAGACACTGGGTTACGGGCACGCGTGAAACCCTAGCCTCTGCATAACCCATCCTTGAAAACTGGCTTTTTTTTTTTTAACATGCATTCAACTACAGCTGATTTACAGCATTGTGTTAGTTTACCATATTTAGGCGTACAACGCAGTAACACAATGTTTCTGTAAATTACACTTCATTTACGGTTACTAGAAAACGAAAAGCTCCCACATTCCCCGCGTTGGACGATATATTCTCGCAGCTTATTTATTTCCTATCTCGTGGTTTGCGTCTCTCAACCCCCACCCGTATCTCGTCCCTCCCAAGAACTGGGCAGAGTCCGAACCAAAGCGTATTTCCTCTTTCTTGGTGGATAAAAA